CCCCCCCCCCCCCCCCCCCCCCCCCCCCCCCCGCTGGGCCCCCCTAAGCCGCGCGTAGAGAGAGGGGGGCGGGAGGGGGGGGGGGGGGAGCGGGCGTGCGAGGTGCATCTCTGTGCAGTTGGCACCAGGGATATTTAACTTCACTGCCTGAAGCTCCTCACATCTACCGTAAGAAAAATCATCATAGTTGTAACACAACCAAATGATCGAATCACGTTCTGTGGAATGCTACATGCGCATTTGCATAAAATATAAAAATAATTGGTTTTATTCTTTAAAAAAGAATAATTCATTAAGAGTTTTGTGCTGGCCTGCCAACACTGAGTGGCACCTGAATGTGGCCAACTGTAGCACCAGAGATACTTCTGAGATGGCTTCCAAGCTGCTTGCCTGAGGCCAGGTTGCTTTTGCCCCACCAGTTCCCCTCATGCGCTGTGGCCACAAGGCTTCTTGGCGGGTTGCCTGGAGCACAGGCCAGTCACAGGCCTGAGTGCCGCACCAGGGCAGGAACATCGGTTTGTTTCCAAGCACCAGATGAGCCCTGCTGATGGAGGAGCCGGCTGGCCAAAGCGGGCCTTCTCCAGCTGCTAGCCCGCCAGAGGCTCCTGGGCACGGAGGCGTTCACTTCCGGGAGGAACGCTCATCACCACGATCCCGATGGCCCGGGCCATGTGGGCGGCAGGTCTGGCAGCACTGGACGCTGACTGCGGGGAGGTGGCACCTTCCCAGCCACAGCAGGGTCTGGCAGAAGCCAAAGGACAGGCGGTCGCGCTCACAGATGAAGCCTAGGAGAGAGAGAGAAGGCGGCAGGACCCTCTGTAATGGAGCGCCAGTCAGTCTCTCCACATTTCCACCTCTGCCCCTCGGAGAGCAAACTGGGCAGGGCTTGGATGCTGCCTCACACTGCACTCAGGGGGGGGGGGGGGGTTGCACAACCTGGTTGACTGGGGAGAGTTAGTTTGGGTACACCTACCTCTCTCCTAACTGGGTTAAGAGGTTCGCCCAACCTTCTGCCCCATCATTAATCCCATTAAGCATGTTGTGTGGACCACCCAATGTGCATTTTTCTTCAAAACAGCAACAG